GTCTTCGAGGGTAGGGAGCGCGTTACGGAGGAAACACGGTGTATCGGCACTCGCGACGAGTAATAGAATGAGAATCACGGTAGCCGATAGAAACATTATTGACGCCGTCAGCGCCGATGAGAATTAGGTTTAAGGCGTTTGCAGGGATACGTTGTGGATTATGGAATGAGGAGTCGCGAAGGATTCACGACATCCTACGCCTCCCCGCCCCCCTTTGGCCCCTCGCGGGAGCGTTCTCCTCGTCGGCAACGGGGGCGGGGGCGGGATCGAACGACGGATAATATTTGAGTTTTCGAAGGCCATCAAGCGCGAACGAGGGGGAGACAAGGCCGAAGGTCGTGGGTTAAGTAAGTGGTTAAGAGGATGGCGACGCGCTGGGGTAATGGAATAAAAACACTCGAGACCGATGTCACTACCTTCGACCTGAGGGGTCGGACGAAGAGGTAAGAGGGTAAGCTCGAGTCTCTCTCTCTCTCTCTCTCTCTCTCTCTCTTCCTTTTTCTTCAGGCCCGCTAGTAGGAGAAGGACGCCGCATGCGCGCTCGCGCTTCGAGAGCTTCGTCGAAAAACACTCTCGTGTCCCGCGCTCAGGAAACGTAGCGCGAAAATATTTCGCGCGCGACGAGTACAGTTGGAATATCTCTTATTAATATCGCGACGAGATGTATGATTTCTTTGTCGCTTCACGTTCCGTTGTCAAAATATTGCTCTAACGTCAGGCACGCGTTTTTCTCCCTTTCTGTCTCTCTCTCGCTCTCTCGATCTCTACTAATCTGTTATTAATTAGTAGCCACGTAAGTAGTCTCACTCACGTAAGATATTTTTCGAAATGTATCGTATTTGCTGTGTGTACCTAAAAGAGTTTTTATAACCTCAGAGTTAAATAAAATGATCTATCTCTGTCTCTGACAAGAAATATCTTTTATTAACTTTCCAATAGAGACGTAAAAATTTGAAATGTAAAAGAGCGCATAATATATAAATTACACCTAAATTATTTATATTGTAAATATTAAGCAAATTAATATTTTTAGTCTGTTTAGTTTTTAATATTTTTCATTTGCTGCACGTATATTTTATATGATATTAAATTATATAAAACTTTAATTTTAATGTTAATTTTCACGATAATAATCGGTTCTGTATTGAAATCAGTCCACAATGTACATTTTTTGTACTGTTGAATAATTTACAAAGTTTTATAATTTGTTATACAAATTTTTATTTTAATTCGTTAATACAGCATAATTTGCAAGGAAAACGTTTGAAAAATCTTAAATCGCGAATATGTCTCTAAAATTTCAATTTATGTGTTATAAAAATATTATTCATTATAATATTACACATTTAAAATAATTTCAAAACGATTTAAATAAAATTTTAAAATGCAGCTTTGCTGTAATATAATTTACGAAAAGTACTTGTAAAATTATAACTATAATGTATATTGACATTCTATTTGTTACTTTATTAACTAATGATACTTTATTAATTAATGATTAGAGAAAGAAAAGAACATGCAGATATATTAGGTGATGATTTGTTAGGAGATGATTTGTTAGGTAAGATTTATGATCGATCAGAAATATTGGAAATTCGCGAGTTTAAGAGACTTTAATAGGAAAAGAATTAAGAGAAAGTGCTAAAGAGAGCAGCATTGAAATAAATTATTTTTATGTCTAAAATCTAAGAAAAAAAGTCTGCGGTGCAAAATATACTTTACGCGTGCCTTGTAGAGTCAAATAACAGATAAGATATACACACTTTTCAGCATATCGTAACTTCAACAACGATAAAATATCTTTTCTATTAAAAAATTCCGAAACCTTTGTATCTTTATCAAATAAATGTCTTAATAAATGCGCCAGAATTGTCCCAAGTATTAAATATTTAATACTTTAATATTATTTATTAATACTTAATATTATTTAGTAACCGTTTCTTTATTAAAGATTCAAAATTTAGTATGATGTAGCGGAGAACTTATTGAATGATCGTAAATTTTTTCTACGTTCCATCGTCATAGGAGATGCGGTATTTTCTGTCGGCAATAGACGCCGCGGGGCGAATATAAAGCCGGCTCTGGCCGCAGGGGTACATCGGCGAATTAATGCCATATGTACTTAGATTGAATTACGCGTTTAAATGGAGGAAATGTGAAATTTCCCGATATTAAGGGGCCGCGCATCGGAATTTGCTCAATCGACAAAGTCGATTACGATCGCGTTTCAGCGCAAATTGGAGGCGAGGCACCCGGCCAGGGGATTCGTTAATGGCACCGGTGGACGTACACGCGTACAGAGCGCCATGCACGTGCACGCATCTGCAGCCTCTTTTTGCGCACTTATGGCTGCTTTGGACTTGCGGTGTGTGTACGTCCGCGGTCGTAATTAGTCCGCGGGATCGCACGCTGCCCTCGATGGACATTCATTGCTGATGCTGCTAATGACGTCGATCTTGCGCGTCTGGGACACGAAGTAATAACAGCCGGCTATACACAGTGGCCCGTCAGAAACCGGGTGACTCGCGCGACGTCTGCTTTGGACTTTCAAAGAACCTCATGATATTTGCCGAGCCTCCCTTCTCCTACGAGCTCTTCCATTGAGACGATTTTTCGCGTTTCCAGCGCGAGATGTATCTTCTCCGACGATAAAAAGCCGCGCGAAGGAAATCGGTGCGACAAGGGATCATAAATGCGACATTACACAGCCGGACTCGCGGGGCACAAAGTTAGTACAGATGCAAAGTTTTAATGTCGCGCAAAGGGAGAATTAAATTGGAGGACATCACAAGCCCCTCTCGTCATTTTAAGGCATTCTCTTTGGGACCGTAAACGCGCATTTAGCGATGCGAATAATTTTTACGAGTTAATAAAGTATTATTCAATTTATACGGCCTTGTACCTTTCTCCCCTTTCTCTTTACCGAGTCACGTTTTCAGGTGGAAATGTGTTTCTCGTAAAGATTAACGGGAAAGGAAGGGCGAAAAAAGTGGGGGAGGAAAATCTTGCAGTTCTCAGACTCACGAAATTAGTGTGTTCACGGGAAATAATATTACAGTATGGATATATAAAAGTGGCAGGTGGAAGTACATCCTGCTTTTAAACATTTTTCGAGGGCGAGAGCCCTTTTTATCGCCGCCGACGAAATTCGCCGGCGCGCGGAAATACTCGTAAAACATTGAAGAGCGGAACAATTTATTTTTATGGAAATACGCGCGTGCATAAAAGATTTTCGTAACGCGCACAGCCCGGAAAGTATATTCATTTGCGAATAGGGGCTTCACGCGTCGCGTATCATGCGGAAATTAATTGGGTATGCCTGTAAATATTCACTGGGTGTGAAATTTTTATTTGCCCGTCGCGTCCGCAATCAAATCGTTGACGCCATGAATATCGCATGAATTCAATTTCGTATTGCATTATCTCGTTATGCGAATAGGATTGACCGCATACGAGGTGTCGTACTTTATTTCAATATTAAATGCCTTCCCGATGTCCTGCGCCCGTTAATTATTAAATTTATGCGAGAAACTGCAATAGCGCCGGGGAGACAAAAGGAAGGCGCGAGCGAAGAATAACAAGGGAGAGGCGCCATTAAAAATGCTGAATAAACATGAAGGCGCCGAGGAATTCTTTTACCCCAGACAGTATAACCATCGCATACACACATTAGTGCAAATGACGCGCAATTTGCGAATGGTTCCATTCTTTCGGAATTATTACGGCTTTTAAATAAATTGTAACGTCAATTTGTAAGCTTTTATGTGAGATATTGTCGTACTCCGTTAGTCCCGCGAAAAATAATATTTTTGTTAACCTTCCGCGCGTATAGTCACGTTTTTTGGGACATATAGTATAACCTGCATCAAACACGGGTAGCTTTCATCTATCATATAACTTCGTTAAAAATCAATATTTTGGAACACATATTTTTCTAACGATGTAGGGACACTTGAGCTACAAGATAGCAGCGCTACAAAATCAAAATCTGTAAAGAGATTTACGTTGTTTTGAAATTTGCACGGACTCCCTTTACGAAAGTTGGTGAAACATTAAATATTCGTCCAGGTCTCAGAGACCCAATACTGTACGTGGAAAGTTATTCATTTATTCCAATTTATTTATTTAATCTATTCCAAGGGGTCGTTTCTTTAATACAATACATAAAATATAATGCGCAAAATTTCGTGACTCTTAAAACTGAGAACCAACCAAACCATGACTTTATATATTTCTGTATCATTCAAAATACTTCGTATCGAAAATTAAAGAGAGAGAGAGAGGGAGAGAGAGAGAGAGAGAGAGAGAGAGAGAGAGAGAGAGAGA